CATTCCGAAGGCATGAAACTTGCGCGGAGGAAGAGACCCTCGGCCCGGGAACTCGTCAGCATTACGCATGCTTTTCTGTGGCCCTTGCGCGTGTGTCCGAAGTTGAATGAAATAAATAAATGAATACACTGTATATGTGTGTATATATATACCGTATCTATTTTTTTCAATTGCGTGTCTGATGCTCGAATATAGCGCGTGAAAATAAATGTCATCCAAACCGTCCGTTCTTTCTTCCCGAAAGACGTCCTCCTGCATTAAGCCCGCGAAATTCATGCCTGGGCAAAAATGGTGTCGTGAAGCTTCGCATTGATTTCCAGGGACATCTTTCTTTTCCATTTCGTTCCTGTACGATATAATTCACTCCGAACTGCAATGCACTTCGATGTGCATGATCGGCTTGAGACGAACTTCCGAACTGTTCCGTTCAGGTGATCGGCTTTCTCATGACCGTCGTATGATCGTCAAGAAAGGTTTTTCTGAATAAAGATTTAGGTCATCATATTTCATTATTTCGGAGGAATGCAAGTATTTCTTTCGGATGATGTATCATATACTGTATACCTAAAAAAAACATGCTGTCGCGTGCCATAGAAATCGTCGATGCTCTTATTCATCGATCTGGTTGCCTCCTAAAATAATGCTGATTCATTTTCCGTGATGCGTGAGATTCGTTGGGATACTGTTGGATACTCTCGGATTCATGCGCATCTATGCAAAGCCGTGGTTTTCAAACCCGACCCACGAAGCTTACTAGCTAAGTTTTTTTTTTTTTGACAGGAGGTCATACTTATTGCGCTTTACAGAAATCCCTTACTTACGGACAGCGAAGTCAGTTTCAAGAGCTCAGGAAAGGGTATGCGGTTGAGTAGAACACCAATCATCCAGGCTTCGAAAAAAATGGCATTCGAGTTCCCTGGCTTCGATTTCCATTTATTGGAAGGGAACGAAGCAGCCTGTGTACGTTCAACGTGACAGTAATTTCATTTTCTATGCATTCCCCTCTGATTGACTAATCAAACGGGGAAAAATTTAAGGGAATGTCAGTCATATGTCGGGTGATCCTTGAAGCATTGTTTGTATCTGTCAAATTGAATTTTAAAATACCGTTTGTAATCCGCTCGAAGAATCCTTAAGTAATTTCAGTGTAAATAATGCACCCTGATCGAAGATGTCGGGAAGTATCCGCTTGTTACGTAACGCAAAATTCGTCGTTGAACCTGACTGACTGGCACGCATCGCGAAAAAAACAATATTTTAATTTTAAATATTTGCCAGGACATTGATATTCCAACACACTTTCCCCCATCGTATCAAACAATTGTACACAACGTTGCCCTATTACGCGAACGGTAATTTTTGTATCACCAAGCTAAGGGCTTCATCGACGGTATGAGCAAGGCCATGCAACGTCATCTCCATGATTGTATTAAGCAAGCAGTTGAGGATGATGCCGTCGAATTGTACGACGTGTCCTTTACATTACCAGGAGCAATTCATATTAGCACTGTTCCGGTTCTCGACCGTTCACGCCCAAAAGAACTAAACCTTGAGGCGGTGATTCTTTTTCATTGATCCCAAGTCTAAGATAACTATATTTAATCATTTTAAACGCAATCATCATGAGAAGAGGTTTCATTTAAATCAGCCCCTGTTCGTTAATGGGAAGGACGAGGAATGTCAGCACCTCGAAATGAAGATATTTTGGTACACGCATTACTGAATCAGAACCTTCCAAGCCACCATTGAATCAATAACGAGCGTCTGGTGAAGATTTTCTTTCACAGCTACTTCATGCGCACCAATTGACATTTTAGGAAATTTTCGCATCCAACTTATCAACATGGAACATTTTCCAGACCGGGGTACTTTTTATTGGTCGTCAGATCTGTGATAGTGTCGAGAGTAAAACGTATAAATTATTCCAAGTATTCTGCAACACTTGGCTTGCCTGTTAATTCCGTAAAAAAAATACGTGTGGCCAGCGAGCTTCATTTCCTCAAGGTGATCAATTGCATTTTCATTTCTCTTTGTCCTTCCGACGTTAGTTCGGGTAAGCAAAATTTTGAACATTCAAAAATTGGCTAGTACAGTAATGTGCTTACTACCCTGAGAATTACGTCCATATCTTTCCAACAAGACCCCAAATGGGAAAAAGAAGAAAAGGAGATAGAAACACCAGAGATAGATACTGTACACCAGATAGAAAAGGCTCAAGAGTCAACCCTCCCGAATTCGCCCGTCCTCGGCTATTCCAATTGCAAGGCTTCATAACTTAAACGTTGCCATGTTTCAAATACCGTGAAGACAGGGAAGCTTCCCAGACTAATTCAGCACGAGAGGATTTTCCCGAGCTTGTAGATTGCCTCGCCGATTTTTTTCCGGCGTTCATTTCACATTTCGCGGGAATATTCTTAATGATGAATTTGACGACTTTCGAGATTTTTTTCCATCAAACTTAAGCGAGGAAATACTTCAGTTATCCGTCATAGATCCCATTTCTTTGTTGGCATGCAGTTTACACTGTTCGTTCGTTGAACTCGACCGGTTGAAATTCGTGGCATTTTCACGAATAGATCTCTCGTACACAATCTTGATGTTATGGCCTCTTAAGTCGGACGAAATTGTGTTTCAAGAACTGTACTATATAACCTGTTTGGAAATTTCGTTCCGCAGAGGTGCGAGAACTAAATAATTACGAATTTCCTGTGGGTTTGTGAACATGCTGTAGGTGCATTTGCGAAATATTTGTCAGTCATAACATTCTGATGTCCGTGTTGTCTTTCATAGAAATTCTGTAATGCGAGATGCAATGCAAGAACAGTAAAGTTTTAAAAAGTGTATTCCGAATGATTTCCGCCTTATTTTTCATCGTCAGATAATTATTTTTATCCCTACGTACTGTAATGGAAGGAATGGTTGATTCGTCTTGAGAATAAATGAATTCGGATGAATTGCCAGAAGAAAAAAAGGGGGAACGCATAAAATTACAATCATTTAGAGGCATTGTAAGGTTGTTCAACTTATTTTCCATTGGTTTCTGCGCATTTTTACGCGTTGAATATTTGAAAGGAAACAATCCCCGATGACAAGAATTCCAGGATCCATGAAGAGAATTTTGAGACGGCCAAGTTCCGCATGAGATTCGAATGGAATCGATTCTGAGATTTGAAGCTAATCTTCTCTTCATGTGTAAAAATATTGAACGCTTCACGATATCTTGGTGAAGCCGGTTGAAGTGTAGTGTGCCCTAAAATTCAGGACCACCACGAAGGCAATGATTTCATGTGAACGCAGTCGTAAAACTTGTATTTTCGCCCAGATGGTTCCATTTCTCATTGAGTGAAATGAGTCCTTGGCTCTCAGACCTCCCACAATTTTTGCCAAGCCTCGAAACCCTCGAAGGATCATGACAGAAGTTCTAATGAAATCTAATTTAATGACGCTATGTTTTCGAACGAATAGCCTCTATGACCATTCCTGAACTATGAGTAGATAATTTTACAATCCAAGTCATGCACAGATCTGCGAATTAAAATGTACGAGCTTCTGGGGCTTTTACGGATGTCTTTCGGCTCTTCGACCATTAGCTCCGTAGTTGTACTTTTACGTATTTTTTCAATTGGCATTCATGAAGGGTTTGATGCCACCGTCACACTCGTTACCAGCATGGAGGGCCGAAAGAATCTAGGTCAACCTTCATTCGCCTGACTCGTGACTATTCGTGGTCGCGGAGTTCAGATCGCGAATGCGTTTCTTCCACTCTCGCTACCGTATGTGTTGTAGATCTTCGTCGATAGTAATCTTAGTTCTCTGTTGTAGACTCAAATCTAGTGCGTGGATTTGGTCTGTTCAACTGTACTGAGCGGCGGGATGCTCCGAAATGTTTGTTGGAAGAAATCTTTATTCATGAATTACTCCAGATGCGCCGTTCAATTCTCGTCACTTGTCATCCGCCCACACGTTAATCGAGGGTGGGCGTGCAAGAGGATCCTGCGCCCGGGGCATCTCTTAATTTATCGTGTTTCAGAAGTATTCCAATCAGCGCAGAACCGTGGACCCGTTGTTACAAACGAGGTCACCATTGTTGTTTTCCTTTCATTTTATCCTGCGTGACCTTTCGTACCCAATGGTCCGGTTACCAGGAACACTACGTAACCTTCGCATTGCATCTACTTGAGCGTAATAAACATGTTCCGAGTTCACAATTCTTTGGTGAACGTTTTTCCTGAGGTTGGAAAACTTTTGTCGGATTATTTTTGTTTCCCTTATATCGTTGAGGAAGGAGTTTTCAACCTTTTTGACTCGCGGAGCCCTTTTTTGGAATCGGATTCTGCGAAGTCAATGAGTCAAATTATTCTGGAGGTTCTTCAACTTGAGAATGGCAATCATGTTAGTCCTTACTGACCTTCAACTATCAACGTGGGCCTTGGTTCGTGACGCTACATCTTGCATCGTCAGAGGTTGATGGATTTTACAGGACTTCCTTTCTGTATTCTTCGATTCGATTCTGCTGTTTGTCCTGATTTATCTTGACTGACCGTAAAGGCTTCGGAAACCTCACGCGGATGTCCAGTTGAGAACCTCTGCGTCGAGGATAAGCGGTGGTAACAAAAACAGGCGACGATCTCAGTGTGCCTAGATGGACACCCGAATGAAATGCAGTGCAGTACAAGATGGACTCGTTTTGAGCGCATGTTCCAGTCCCCGGGCATTCGCTGGGGATGTGTTTTCCTCGGAAAGCCCAAGCATTCGCTGATTAATGCTGTTGTGAGGCTCGTTGGCGCGGAAGACTGAGGTATTCGTAATCAGTACGCAGAATCTCGATGAGCCTTGTGTGCGACCTGAACGCATTTCACGAGCTCCATTAGCCCGTGCGCGTCGAAGTTGATCGAATTGCGCGGCAAATTCACCGACCTCGGGTCGATTTTTGCGATGTCTGGACTCCGTGCTTGGTCATGAATGAGTAACTAGGTCTGTTTTTTTTGTGTCTGTTGCAGGTGCTGGCGAGTCTGGGAAGAGCACGATCGTGAAGCAAATGAGAATTCTCCACGTGAATGGATTCAGCGAAGAGTAAGTACCTTCATCCGCCGGTGGGATGTGTACTAGTCGGTGCCTGAGTAGATGCGGTTCATTGAATGCCCCATTCATGTCTTGCAGCGATGTCATTTTCGGGCCTCGCCGGCCCCATTTACGTGGGCACTGATTTAGGACTCGTGGCTGCGTGGTACCTGGTAGGTGCGGTGGAGGGTTCATTGCCGAGCCCCCAACAAGGGTGTTCGCGTGGGACTATTTTTACCTGCCGTCTTTTCTCGTTGCATGAGGCGCGGTCATCGATTTCACTCTCTTCGCGGCGAGGCGAACAGGTCTCTCGTGAGACCCCGCAGCGCTTGCAGTAGGGATTGCAGGCGAGTCCAACCCTGGTTTGGGGGGGGCGGGGGGCGGAAGAGGTGATCTGGGATCTGGAAACGCGGTTGCGGAAGTGCAGACGGCCATATATGACTCTGGTGCCCTTCAATGGGCGCACATGAAATTTGAGCGACGCGTTGAGCGAATTAGGCAGGCCGGCCGGAGAAAGGGATGCATGTGCGCGGCGCTTGCGGGAAGGGAGTGCCGTATCAGGTCCCTCAGAAGTGTGGACCTAGGAATCCCCGCTACCCTCTTCTGGCTTCGACCCAGCATACAACGTGTTCGGGCCTTCGGGGTGGCCAAGGACGTATGATATTATCATTACGTTCCCGGGATACGTTGTATGCTGCGCACCCCGGGTTTCGGGCCTCCCTGTCTGTGCTCTCGCGTCCCGAGGGGCCTGCAATTTTTAGGGGAATTCCAGGTATGATGGGCCTGCAGCGTCTCGGATCCACGCGGGGTAAACTCTGAAACCGCCTCCTGCCGTCGACCCGGCTGCCGACCCCCGCGTCTTCAATAGTCAATCAACACTGTCGTCCTAATTCTGGCCGCTCTCGTCCTTCTTTCATTCCTTTCTCCTTTTTTCGTCCTTCGCAATCTACGCGTTCTCGTTTTCATTTCTCCGCGTGGATCGAGTCTTCGCGGCTAATCTCGTCGTCGTCGTCGATGCATAGGAGTTGGAAGAGGGCGGAGCAGAGAAGGAACACATATATACGCCTGACAAGTCGACCGTGTTTCAACTCGTGCTGCTAGGTCAGGCCGCGGATGGCGTTCACAGCGGGTGGAAACCGCTCCCATAAGCCATGGAATAGGAAGAGACACGGTCGCGTTGGAACCCGGCTTTTGTTTCGCAGGAGGGGGACGTCGCGCACTTGAAGGATTCGTGCCCAGCTTCAGCTAACCATTTTCTTCCGTTTTTCCCTTGCATGTCCCGGGGCTGATGGGTTTGTCAGCGCATTTATTATTTTGTTTTTCTCGTGTGTAGCACAGCATCCGTGTTGTGCGGAGAGATGAGCTGCAGCGCATTTTTCTGCGGTTGTCGTACTTTATGCGGTTATTTGCCCGACCATATCCTGGTGCACTGTTGGATCTCTTGGCTATCGTTGATGCTGTGCGACTGCCTGGGATCTCTCGATTCTTTCTTGGCTTCGCCCTCAATGGCGGTTCACTGTAGGCTTCGATGTGCCAGTGATCGTGTTGCCCAAGGTTGAGTCACATCCACTGACTTCTTGATCGAAAACGGATGGTAGGAGCTGCGAAGATCGTTTGTCGTGATCTGTCAATATGTTCTGCGAAGGGATACTGCACCATGCATTTCGTTGCGCGCTATTTCGACCATCAATTGCTCGCATCTTGATGTAATTCTAACGGCAATGGCTAATGGAAAGTTGTGCAAATTGGTCTTGTTTTTTTTTATTGCAGTTCTGGGAATTTCTTTTCGATTTCTTGTTGTATATTCTTGAAAATATACTGTACTATATTTGGCTTCTCGTGTATATGCTGCAATGTAGTCGGTTGGAAACATTACAATTTCATTTTTCAACCAGCATTTGCTCTCCGACACGAATACGGAGATGTAGTAAGTATAATCGTATGAGTTATCCCGTCTCTTTGCCAAGTCGACGTTTACCGATGAATACCGTGCATCTTCTGTCGTTTCGTGCGATGATTGAACACGCATTTGAATTATTGTACTATATTTCCACTTTCAGAAATCGATTTTGCTTGGCATACCTCCTCTTTGTCTTCGCACGCGAATCGTGATGAATGTACTGCATTTTCATAACATTTTGCGATGGTAAACTTTAGGTGTCTCTGCCAATTAGCATCAATTTTTCTTGTCGAAGACTTAAAATCTATGAAATCTTATCCTGATTATTGTTTACTAAACTACCATATTTCACTTGTTTGTCCTCATATTTTTTAATTGCCAGTAGCGTAAGAAATGCTGTATACGGCTCTGTTTCTCACATGAGTTCATCAACGAAGGTTCAGAACTTGTGATCCGTGTCACTGCTTTCCTGAAAGGTTCCACGACAACTCGAAAAAAATTCTAGATTCTAGATCGAAAAAAATTCTAGATTGATAATTTTGAGGTACAAAAAAAGGAAGATCACCATATCCCCGACTACCAAAGGAAGGGCTAATCAACTCCTAAATGTGACAACCTTGTTGTGTCCGTCAGGAGCATTGATTTGAAGGACTTTGTTAATGATATGAATTTTAGGTCAAGGTTGAGAAAATTCGGTTTATCAAATTAAAGTATTCACGCGTGTACGAGCCACATTTTTTTCTGGATAATAATTTTTGTGAAGCCCAAAATATTCATGTATAGGTGGCACCACAGTCTTACTATGAATTTGTGCAGAGATGAGCTCGAAAGGAAGGTTGACTGAGGGAACAATGCAAGAAGCCGCTTCAAAGCTGCGAAATGTCACATGAACTATTTTTTTTTGTCTGCAAACCGTAATGTTCCAATCTTTCGTGGCCTAGAAAGTATCTTTCCCGACTTCCCGGTATTGCTCAAGAACCTAGATGCGGCCTGAACGCGCGACACTACGTGTTTTTTTTTTCTGGCTCCCGAGTTGTATTCTTCTTCGGTTTCTAAAGATTGGAGTGGCGGTGGTCGGAAGAAAAAGCAAAAAAATAATAAAAACGAACGAGATTTCGTTTGATTGAGAAACGCTGACTTGATGGAAGACGCTTGATTGGGCCCAGCGACGAACTCGCAGCCGAGACTGTTTTTAAAACCTTGCAGCGATCCTGCCTAGTTGCATGGGCGGAACGAAACTGGTTTGTCCCTGTACGGGGCCTGGTCCACGCATCGGCAGAGCACGCCCGTATGCTACGCTTTTCTACGTCTTATCAAGCAGACTTATTCCCTGGGAGGGTTATCGCCTCGACGGACTAGCTGTAGCGCGACATGGGGGCGGCGGTTCGCGATGTCTTTGATCTCGTCGTGGAGCCGTGTGTTTCCCCGTTGCCACGTGGGAGTAGGTCTCAGTCCTTCCTCTAACCGGGGTTTTAATCCGTGCTTCACCCTCACCGACGTTTCTACAGACAGCTTCCAACGTTCATGTACTCCTTTTATGTTGGAATTTTAGCGAGTGATGAGGGACATGCATTGAACTGTCTCGGCGTAAGAATCAAAGGCGAAGGAAAAGAGAGGGCACGAGGTTTTCTTTCCGTGGGGGAGGGGATGTATGACCTTGTTGGGACTCGTGTCATTTCTGCCCGCACTGAAGGCCGTTTCTGGCCTTGGGTTTCATAGGGTCAACGGCTTCTTTCGTGGCGCGCCCGAGTTCCCGCAGAAGTGTTGATGAAGATGCCCCGTTGTCACGAATAAATTACTGCTCCTTAATAGGAATGTTATTGTATTTTGTCGATGTTCACGTTGGCTTCTTGGTTGGACTCCGCCTGAGTATATGGTTTCTCCTTGACAGCAGAGTTGTTCTTCACGCCTTCGAGATTTAATTTGCTGCGGACAGATGCACCTTAATACCATCGTCATAGTTTTCATCATTTGATGGTACTGTATTGTACAGTACTGCTCTGCTGCTAGAACTTCACTACTTCATTTTAATGAAATTTACCTGGTCTACTCACCTCTCCGTGTCCGAAAATTAAAATCCTGGATTAGAAAATTAAATGAACGGGAGTTTATTTCTTACAATGAATGTCTTCCCATCGTTTCGCCGAAGAATTCACAAATGCGTACATTTAATGCGGCGATATTCCTCTTAAATTCCTCGTATTCATATTTTTAAATTGCACGCTGGGCACGGTGAAAGGTGTTCTGAATACTTGCAATGGTTAGACTTACACAAGAACTGCAGCTAATGTTGTTGGAGTACTTGAAGTGGGGGGAAATCTTGTATATTGGCTGTTCTCTTCACACTTGTGATCTGGGATACGGTATGTCTAGATTTCTTTGAAACGAATATTGAAGTTTGAATTACCCTTTTGAAAAGTTCCGACTCGTCTGAAACCGCGTCGATTTCTAAAATTATCGATTACTCATGCTTTTATGTACTTCTTTCTGTCCTAAAACTGCTGAAAATTCAAGATGGTTGCTCTGAAATGCATGTCAGTGATGTTTCTTGGGAATTTTGCGTGTGCGATTATGGTCAATCAGTTATCAGCTTCATTCTCGCCGCATCGTTATCCGCCGTGCATTCTGCATTTCGCTCGAGGGTTGTCGGGAGCATTTATGATTATAAAATAATTATTTTCTTCTGTTGTGAGCAGCTTCTTGTGCCGCAGCTTACGCTTGTCAAAAATCTCCCATGACAACTGATCTTAATTAGTCTCCGCTTTATAAGTCTGTAGCGTTAAATTTCAAATCAATCATGATGAAGATTACTTTTCTTTTTCTTGTAACTGGTTTGAAGCCGACGTCCTTATGAAAAAGGATCTGATGTCAAACGGTACCTGCAAAAGCGTGATTGCATTCATCAGAGCTGTCTTTCATTGTTAAAACCTATCCCAATGTTTTTTTTCTTTCTTCCTGTGATGAGGTAGTAAAACTCGGTCTGTAGAGTCGCCTGTCGCGAAGAGACACAGCACGTCAGCTCTGAGGAAGTAGAGTTTTCCTTTCTCTGCGGAAGTCCGACGAGAATCCGGTATCCTGGGTGTGGTCATGAGGCTGATCTGCTGTTCGTGAATTGATCCCGAAGCAGAAGAAAGGAATCGATTCGGCATCGCGCGCTTCGATGCGTTCGTGTCTGGGACACGATACTTTGGCAGAAAACCGAGACATCGATGGATTGCTTTTGATGGATTGAATGGGACATCCCGAGGGCGGGATTTAGTGACGAACTTGGTGGGTGGGTGTGCGACGCTCTTATTTGACATATTGACGCGCTCCTCCGCGTAGGAGGAAGTGTAGCTTATCGTTTACGCGTGGCTCATTTCGAAAGTGACGCTGGTTTTTCTGGAGAACTAACCTCATGTTTTGTGTCATGTTTCCGCAGGGAGAAGCGACAAAAGGTCGATCATATCAAGAAAAACGTTCGCGACGCTATTTTGGTGAGTGAACCTTTGATCTTTGAATGACCTCTTCCTTTCATGACGCCTTCGAACCTGGAGCACGCGCGAATTTTAAGCTGAACTCCTTTTATTGCTGTCGCTTTACGACCTCTGTGTAATGCGCCCGCATCCTGCCTTCGAGGTGACATTCGCTGAAATGGCTTCTGGTTCCATTTCGCAGACGATAACTGGTGCGATGAATGTGCTTTCCCCGCCGATATCCCTGGAGAAGCAAGCGAACCAGTGGAGAGTGGATTACATTCAAGATGTGGCATCGCAGCCCAATTTCAACTACCCTTCCGTGAGTGTCGACATTAGGACTGTCTTTTATATCTGTCGCACTGTTGGCCGTATTAATGACATTATTTTTTTCTTCTTTCAGGAGTTCTATGAGCACTGCGAGGAGCTTTGGAAAGACAAAGGAGTGCAAGCCTGTTACGAACGCTCGAACGAGTATCAGTTGATAGACTGTGCCAAGTAGTAAGTGCTTTGCTCGATGCGTTGAATTCCAGTTGCGGTGTAACGCTGTTCTATATCGATGTATGGCTTGTAAAGAATCCTTCCGTGAACCTGAAAACAATTCGGTACCGGGAGAATGATTCTCAATTGTATTAATGTTTCTCGTAAGGTTACCAAATCTAAAATTTTCGTCCATCTGGAGAAGAAGTTGTTGATGTTTTTATCATCAAAAAACTTATTTCGGGAATTGGAGATGGTGCCAGTTACTTCGTGTACGAGGGTTGCTTTATAAAGTTTGTCAGACTTTCCCGCTTTTTTTTTTTTGTTGAATGGTTGGAGTAGGTTTTTTTACACTACAGCATTTATAATTTCCTGATCCCCGTTTGTAGGTTTTTTTACACAACAGCATTTATAATTTCCTGATCCCTGTTTTTAATTATGTTTACTCAGGTAGTAACATGGGAATGTAATATGTAAGAGTTCCCTTTCATCCCATCGATATGATAAAAATATATTTATCTGGCTCACTTCGAAGCATCATTAATGCGGACTGTCTAAGCGTAACCAAAAGCTTTATTTCGAAAACCGTAATCGAAATACGGGTATATCATTAGCGAAAACGTCTCAGATCTGACGAGCACTTCGAAGGTAATGAGTTCTGATTTCGGAAAATTTTTTCTAGTGATGAAGATTGCCCTAGAAGGATTGGCGAAGTCGAGGAAAAGTCGTTGCAAATAAACGGAGGCTCGTTATTGATCCCACAAGTAGTTTTGAGAATTAATTATGACCCCGAAGCATCCAATCCGAAGGTCATTTCAAGGAACTGACAGCACTTTTGAAGCATCCCTTGTGTTCTAACGTGACATCAAGCACCGTCACTTCGTTTGATAGCAGATTTCGGATGCATTTCTGACATAGATTTTTTTTTCTAAAATTTGGGAAAGCTTTTTTATTCGCGCCGAAAGCGATGCGCCTAATTTATCCGCATATGTAAATTACTTCATTGTCTTGAAAGTGTCATATCATATTTTTGTTTTTGGCTGACATTTTCCAAGTGCTCCTTGTCCGAAGGATACTAGCGATGTATTTTGGACTTACCTACGTCACTCGATTTCATTGAAACTTCTTATTTTTCAGTTTCCTGGACAAAGTGAAGGTAATAAAGGAAAGTGATTACACGCCGACGGAGCAGGTAGGCATCTGACTTTCTGAAAAGTGCCTTGAAGTTGACAACTTATTCTCAATATAATTTCTTCATTATGCAGGATATCCTGAGATGTCGTGTCCTCACGTCCGGAATATTCGAAACAAAGTTTCAAGTGGATAAAGTCAATTTCCAGTGAGTATCATCCATGCATTCTATGTGAACATCTCCGGCAAGTTATTGTGGCAAATTTTCGATACGTTGTATGGATAATTTGAATTTTGAATCTTATCTGTATCTCGTGATCATCCCAACTGTTCTTGTTATGAGTTGGCAACATGCTGAAGGGGCATTTTGGAAGAATTGGTTTCGTTATTGAGATGACGAAGTCGTTCACTGCGTGCGTAAAAAAGTGAGAAAGTAGTTTCTCCGGAAATAGTTAAGCGAACAGTTGGGATGAGAAAACAGCTGGAATATGTGATAAATAGTAATGTGCCCAAGCATCATCTTAGTCCAAATTAAATCATGAGATTTCATCATTGTGGAATGATGGACACGGACCCTCATTTTTCCGTATTGCCTCCCATGGTTCGCTGGCATTTATGAATTATGAATCAAATTCCGTCCGATAGATGAATTAAAATTATTCCCGTTTCTTGAAATACCTCGGCGGTTCGAAAATCGTAAAGGTTATTCTTTGAGCAATTCTCGAATCACTTGCATCAATTGCTTGTACACTTCAGCACATTGTTAACAGTACGACGGTATGATTATACAGTATTTACCCATTGTGGAATACAGTAGAAAGAGTCTGACAAATGAATGCGGGTGGAACAAAAAACCAGCTTATTCCCCCCTAGTCGAGCCCAAAAGCTGGTTCTTTTGTGAAGCGATAAATTTTTCTCGTACCCTGCAATGTTTTTTCCTAGCACGATTTTTTGTCTCGTTTGCGGAAAGGTGGGCTGTTCAAGTTGAAGGAACTGATATGATTGCTTACCGTGTAATATTTTTGCGACTTTCGTTGAAATACTCTACCTTGAATTCAGAATCAGGATTTTTGCTTCGATGTTTGACTTCGTACCTTGACAATTTTCAGCATGTTCGATGTCGGTGGTCAACGAGATGAAAGGCGGAAATGGATTCAGTGCTTCAACGATGTGACAGCAATTATTTTTGTAACGGCTTGCTCCTCTTACAACATGGTGCTGAGAGAGGATCCGAATCAGAACCGACTCCGAGAATCTCTGGAACTCTTCAAAAGCATTTGGAATAACAGGTTGTTTCTTGCTTTTGTTGATGTTCATCGATCGACGCTAATGTCAACATTTTGCTTCTGTTATCGTCTTAGGTGGCTGCGCACCATCTCTGTGATTCTGTTCTTGAATAAACAAGATATTTTGGCTGAGAAAGTGATCGCTGGGAAGTCTCGATTAGACGAATATTTCCCAGATTTTTCTTCCTACCGGACGCCTCAGGATGCTCCGTTGGAACCTTCTGACAACCCGGAAGTAGTACGCGCCAAGTACTTCATCCGTGATGAGTTCCTTGTAAGATATTGCTTTATCGGTGCTACTGAAACTGATTGGATATGAAGAACTAACTGTTGGCGTATGTTTCCTTATTTTGCAGCGAATAAGTACATCCAGTGGCAATGGGCGTCATTATTGTTATCCTCATTTTACATGTGCTGTGGACACTGAGAACATTCGACGTGTGTTCAATGATTGTCGAGACATTATCCAGAGGATGCACCTTCGTCAGTACGAGCTGTTGTGATGGATGTCTTTTCTGCGTAGGCTCTGGCTTGGCCAAGGATTTTGTTTGGAACTGGATTGAGAATTTTTTTGGGTTTGGGAAAGTGAAAAATCAGCCACAGAGGGCTGGAGAGAGCCCTAAAGGTATCCATGGTTTGCCATGCGAGACGATGCTGAGGAAATTTAATGCCATTGACGAATATTTCGCGTAATATTGATGTGTTGGAAGTGCGCGAGTAGCGCCTTGGCGGGATTGGCGATCTTCTTGGCAAGGGAATTTCACAGAGCGGGGCGAGTGAAGGCAGTGAGAATCGCAAGAGAAGCAATCGGAAATCCATGAAATCGAAAGCCCAAGCCAGTAACCTGTGCTGAGGAGTCGGATGAAGCGTGTGTGTCCGTCGGGAGTAAAAAAATTGTGTGATTGCAGTCGGTGCGTGGATTTCTACGGAGCAGTCTTCAGGCCCCATTTCATCACGAGCGTTACGCGTTTTGATTTAGTCGCACGCCGATTCCTAGCCCTTCTCCCGTGCTGAAGTTGCTGGGATTTTTGCTTTCAACTTGGGGTTGTCACCTTGACTTCGCAAGTTCTTTTTTTTCTTTTCGATTACGAGCTGTGCTCACCGTTTCTCGACACGCTGTGTGAATGTCTATGATCGTGCCATTTTTTGTGGGGTTCTCGCCGAGAGAGGTTCAAAACGTGGTTTAGAAGTTCGGAACATTTCCGTTATCTCCTACGGATCTAACTACAATTTCAAGGAACTTTCAAGTCTAATTTAAAAATCAAATCCTTTGATTCCTCATAAAGATCATTTATTTTTTCTCTTGGCTTTTATGCTGAGCATTTTGCATCGGAAAGCTTTTGGGTTTGCTTGTTGGAGGTGCACATATTCAGTTAAAAGCGAATTTCGTCTTGTATTTTATTTATTATTTTTGATCAAACGGAGTGGACTCCTAACGCTAGATTCAGTTCAAAGTTCAGTGTTCCATTGAAAGTCAAAGTTTGCTTGCCTTCTTTGCGATATAGTCTTGACAGCAAGCGTTTGCTTCCATGAAATCCGTATTGCCGGCCCTCATTTCTTCTTCTCAATTTTCTCCCGGTGTTCGCAGTTATATATTCATCTCTTGCTGGGGGCCAAGAATTCCCGCAATCTTTTCATAAGTTCGGATTTTTCCGAGTTTTGTTTTCATTTGCCTTTGATGGGGCCTTAAACACCTGCCTTTTCCTATTGTATAGAGAGAATCTGATGAATGCGACTTTTCTTCTAATAAATTCGTCGAACTCGATGGCATGGAGTTCAGAAAGGAGAGGTTTTCCGCGTTGATGGGAGTTTTACTTATCGAAACTTGGCCCCTGTTCCCTAGCATTTCGTCGGATTTGAATCATGCTGCTGTTAAACGCTTCTTTGGGGCGCGTTCTTTTACTGCTGTGCCGGGTTTGATCCCATCGTTAAAGATATGATTCTTGCCCAAAAATCTTGCCCAAATCGGAGAAACATCATCCTTGTTGCGTTTGAATCTTCTCGATGATCTAATGAAAACCTCTGCTTCAAGTAGTTCTCCGTGGCTAATGCAGGGAACCGAAAGATTGTCAGGAAGTAGCAGTTGTTGCGTTTTTGTTCGTATTTTGGTGCAATGGAGGGTTGACCCGGCAGATGAACACCAGCATTAATGTGATCATCGTTCGCAGAAATATTCACGAAGTTTAATTGCTGTGGATCCCACAGAATGAAGCTCAACCGTAATGAAAGCAGTTTATTTTTAATGCAGTAATTACCGCAATGTTTTAAAATGCCTACAGCCCCTAGGGCTTCGACCCAGTGATACCCAGAACGAAAGCATTTTGAAATGGAATCTGGTCGCGATTCGAGCCATTGTGTATTTCGTCGATGTTCGAAGGCATTGTGTCATGCCGCGCTGTAGTTGAATTTCATACTGCTGCAAAGGCTTGCATGATAATAATCTTTCTTGAGTTCTTAGCATTCATTCCCGCCAGATTCTTTCGGTACTAGCCATAATATGAAAAATTTTGAAGTGTGGGAAACTGCGTATGAAGCACCTTCTGCTTTGTGTAAAGTGCGCTGACCTGAGGACTGTGATACGTAGTTGCGTGTACCAGTGTATATCATTTCGCTCCAGGCCCATGATCATGCAAACGTAGCTCCCGTACCTACCAAGAGCCTGTGGTCTACGTTTGTAGGCTGGAGTGACGTTGGAACATTGTCGTGACCGCCGATGCAAAAGCTGCGCTTTGTAGCAACCGGGAAATGGAATAGAACTAAGTCAGGCTGGGGCGCATCTGTGAATGAATTGCGCCAGTAGAAAAGCTACTCTTTGTCTTCAATGTCCTGTCACGACACCTCCTGACATTGTCCACCTTATTTTTTTTATGGACTACTTCTTTGCACAAGTGCTTTTAATTTCATTGGAAGCTGCCAGTTACTAGTTAAGTTCAGCTCTTGGTAGAATTTGCCAGGGTGACAGAATTTTTGTTGGGATTTCTACCAGTCAGCTGTATTTCTACCAGTCAAAGTCGCAGGAATCGTTTTCTAATTGTTTAATTCATAGTCATCCTGTGGCCTTCATTATTCAAATGTTTGTCAAAAGTGTGGTTTCATTCTCGGGCCAAATCTGCGTGATCCTGGTCCCGGCTGAAAGCTGAAATTGATCTGTGTTTTTCTGCGGAATGCCCTCATTTGTTAGGTCGCGGTGGGATTCGGTCTATTCCGAGCTGAAAATCGTCATGTAGACCATGTCAAGATTGACTTCTATGTTGCGATCCTGCCTCCTATTCCATATCTGCGCATTTTTAGTCAGCACTGAGGCATTTTTGTATGAAGTGGGGTTTGCTTTCCTCAGGCCGTTTTTGTTGACCCTCTGAAGGAAGTATTTGCTCCCTAGCCTGTCTGTGTGGATGATGTTCCCTTTTGAAGAGCTGAAGTGAATTTTTCGGCGAATCCTCACAATGATGCAAGGAATGCATGGATAATTTCAGTTATCTCTCCGGTTCATTTTGATGCGTCTTCTTTTGTATGACTCAGCTGCTTTTTCCGTGTTGGATTTCATTCTGAAAAGTGGTTTGGAAGGTGGAAGAAAGCAGGTTCGACTGCCCTTCTTGCAAAAAATTTTTAATGGAAGGAAATAATAAAGCAACTTCATGTAATAACATTTTGTCGTTCGGTTATTGCTCCGAATCTGAGCGGTGGGGGTTTCTCGTATCTTACCGGTTCTTGGTCAAGCTCAGTCACCCAGAAGCAACAAAAAAAATATGCTGCATATATATATCAGGACGCACTGTATTTTGGAAGCCGAGGTATCAGGCAAAGAGTCATCCACTGCTTTATTGATTGGAAAACTCAGGTAGTGAGCCGAGGGATTTACATGAAATGAATTGAAATTGCCTCTGATTCATACCTATAGTGTCTGATCCTGAGTTCCTGACAGGGTCCGTGTTCTAAGAATAATGATTGAGCGTACTGCAGGGGTATTCCGTTTAATATCCTCTCTTCTTCGATGGCTTCACACTTTTTTGCTAGCTGAAATTGATCTACACGGATTTTTTAAATAATAGACCGCATTTTTCTTTCACTAATTGCCAATAAAGTACTTACACTGTCAACGTTTTTCTGGTCGAGTGGCTGCGTAAAACCAGTGTGCGGTCGAAACTCATGTTCTTGTACGTGTAAGTGGCTGAAACACAAGATTTTGGGGGAAATACCAGAAAAGCATGATTGTGCAAAAGCCAAGACTTCTAAATATTTTGTGGATTGAAATAGGTATTTTAAGGTAACTTTGGGCTCAAGTACTCCGTATTCTTGGTTTGTCATCTTGGAAATTTCCGGGAAAAGCCTTCCCTGTGTTCATACTTGTACTGTACTAACTTCAAGAACTTGTCATAAAACCTGAGTTAGAAAAATCAATGTTGCTTAATTTAACCTTCGTTATAGTACAGTACTTCATGGTTCACTTAACCCTCGAATCCTTCATTTGCAAAAAAAATCGTGCTCTTAATCTCTCTCTCTCTCTCTAGGTGGTTTTAACGTAGGTTATGACAGTATGAGTCTATGTTTGACAGTTGGCAACATTATTGCGGTATTTTTTTCACCGAGTTCTCCGCATCGACTCGCGATGGATTTAAGTACCACGCTCTACCAGCAGTGGTCCGCGCACCACCGATGGAAAAGTGGTGGTCCGTAGACAATGAGGAGAACCAACATCCAGAAGCACTCCCAGCTGGCACTCGGTGTTTGCACTCCCAGGCCCTGGTGGGTTCCCCCGCGAGTCCGAGTCCCGCGTGCCAGGCTGAACAAGTTGCCTTGATAGGCGCCGAGTCCGACCGCCAGTCGCTGAAAGCTATTCGCCGAAGACGGTCGTGTTTCACTCCGCGCCGAGCGTGAAGACCAGCCCATGCATGGTCATCAGTGGGAGGAATTGTGTGCTGGCGAGTTCCGAATTGCTTTCTTACCCTCATTCACCTGTCATTTTTCCACCCTCTTTCTCCCCGCTCATTGATTCATAAATTGTCCATCTTTTCGAACGTCGATTCAACAGTACATTCATTGAAGTCGGAATATCTTCTCGGAGAAGTGCTGGCATCATTAAAATTCACATTAGCCTGTAGTGGTGATATACGCATTCTCTTATTATATGAGGGCTGCTCAACGAATGTAAACTTCCCATCAGCCTTTTTTACATCAACCACTGGCTAAATTTTTTTTTTTACCTGGAACCTCTGCAATCGCTCTCTGGGGCTCGGCCGACTTTATCTGACCAATAAAGAAACATATGTGATATGTGCTTCTCCGCGGGCTGAAATATTACTCCTGAAAAGTTAACACTAACTGAATGGGAAGGAATTGTGGCATAGAACAGTTGATCACGATTGAAGGATTCTAGAAATTTTTCTAGGAGAGATAATCAAATCCAATGAAAAGTTCTCAAGTAAGATTTTTGCCGCTGCTGGCGCAACTTCGAGCTAGGAAAAGGGCACAGCGTGCAAATTTTTTGCGAATAGTTCGATTGACGTGAGAAAAGTAAGATCAGCACTGATAGAAAAAATGTAAGCGGTTGAGTGATTCGCCGGAGTGAAGAAGTTGTGCTTCGATCGTGTTGCTCGTAAGAATTACTAGGGGCTGTACATTGGTGCCTCAGTCTATGGACTTGGTACGTCCCTGTGAGAATTTCATCACCGAAAAGAATGCATAAAACGATAATTTTAAAACTATATAAAATAGCCAAGTGCTGTTTTTAGAGAGTGTTTACTCCTTTCGAGTCTCCGAAGTGATTAATGAGAAACGAAATGAAAAGTGGAATGATTAATTCATTCTTTGGGGTTTTCTACCTACGTTATCAAATAAGTAAGTCTTCGACAGAAAAAAAATCAGGAAATGAGGAAAAATAACCCTCAAAAAGTCAAGAATACCGAGAAAGCCGTTTTTACTTTTTTTTTTTTAGATAAGTTTAGCGGCTACACACTTTTTTGATGAGCATTGCTTTCGATACAGTCTGTTCTCCCAAGCAAAAATAAAAAATAAGCATCGGCGGTAGCCCCAGTCCATAGTGTGAGAAGTCCATTACACGGTTCATCCATTATCCGGGGTACCTCTGCATCATTCCCCAATCGTTTTGTTTTTCTTTGTTCGATGGGATGGAGATCGTTGTTGAGTCGGATTGGTGTAAGTCAGTCGCAGCGCACTGGCAGTGTCCGGATGCGGTGGCGAGCGCGGACAAGAAGAGAAAGTTGTGGCAGCTAGGCTTGTGACCGATTCTCCGGGATTCTCTTTTTGTTTTACTCCTCCTCCTCCTCTCTTTGTCTCTCTCCTCTGTGCCCGCGTCAGCCCAAGATTAAAAAAAAACCTTTCCACCCGTTCGACGCCTTCCTCGTCGATTTCTATCTTCTTTGCCGTGCAAAGTTATTCACGTCCTGGGCCGCCGCGTCGGCGCTGCTGGGCGTCGAAAGGAGCCGCTCCGTGCCCCGGTATCCGACTTGAGGACGCCGAAGAAACGGCGGACGAGTATCGTTGACAACATCCGGTACCCGCGTGATGCTTGAATGAGCGCCTTATTGTGATGTTCGGACAGCGCGTGAAATTTCCGCACGTCTCTCGTTGAATGACCCGTTATGCTAATTCATTTCACGCGTCTGCGACGGCTTTTTTCTTTGTTACTGCCCCAGTGGAGCATTGCTCTTGAGAAACATCTGGCGGCGAAATCACCATTAGGGAAATATCTTTCCCCGTAAAAAAAAAAAACAATGATGTACCGCGTGTTAATCATTTTTTCCGACGCGTCGTAATTTGCTCACAATTTGTTGTCTGGTTCTTTTTTTACACGCTAAGAAATAATTAATCCGGTTGAAAATGCGGTAGTGTGAATTCGTGTGAATCCTCGCGGGGAGTCCATATTTTTCGCAAAGCGCACGAGTGAGACGTAATTAATTCCCTTTCGTCAATAAATTTATTTCCTTGCTGACACTTTTTCCGCCACGTCCATCACTGCACCGGCGAACTTCTCAAATATTTATTTACTTGATTCCTAAAAAGTTTGAGTTCCCGGGAAAAGTGAAAACCGTGGAATAAATTAGCGAGAACTATCGTAACTTTCATAGAAGACGGAATCCTTGTTCACGTTATCATCGCATGTGCGATGGTTGAGCTGAGTGCCTCAGATTTTTCCTCAGCAGTCTTAAATTACTACGTTATCAAAATTGCGATTTGAATTGATCTGATGATTGCTCGAAGTGTCTTATTTACGCTATTATAATTTCGAGCCCTGATTTTGTGCATCGATTTCATGGAAAACTTTACAGACAGCGAAATAATTTTAAAATCTAGAAGGATATGTGAGGATTTAGAATAGCAAAATCTCAGAAATTTCCTGGAAAACTGTATTTAGTTCATGACCTATTATATTCGCGTATAGACCGCACAGTTGAAACTGCGATACGTATGTCGAGCATAAAAAAAATAATCTTGGATCCGACCAATAAAGAAAATATAAATTATTCGGGGATCCATGTGCTGTGCAATTCATTAAGCGTGCACACATTTTCTTTTCTTCGCAAATGCGGCCTGCTTTTGAGAAAAAAAGCAGGCCGCACGAATTCAATTCCAGTTTCCCTTTTTTATTTCAACGTTATGCTTGAATGGTTCGTTTTGAAACGTGCAAATTTAAGGTCTTCGAAGTAATCAAGTCATGTTGAGTCTTTTAATGAATTGTCTAGTACTGTATCGAGTACTGTACACTGTACGTGAATAATCCGGAGATAACCATCTGGCAGTCAGCCCAGATAATCGGATTTTTCTCGAATATACTGTACTCTGCACGCCGGATGCGAGTATTGTCATCGGTCGATTTTTTTTTTTGCGAAAAACTGCGTCATATATTCCGGCGGGAACAGCATTTAGTTGGTTGCTTTTTCGAATTTTCTTCTTGACAAGCTTGAACGTTTTGGTTGCAGCTGAGTAGCGTCTGCTCATTCCAGCCGACGCGGGCTAGAATGCAGTTTGCGAATATAGTGTCAGTTTCTGTAGGACGCGAGCTGAAGCGCTGCTAATTTCCTCGGGTTCTTGTTGCACTTGGACATGTGGTACGGAAGTGGTTCTCCAACGTGTAGCTGAACCTGCTGGCCCCGGAGGTGGAGTCCTGTTCGCGTGACTTTGTGCAGGAGAGAAGCAACCCTGAGTACCAGAGCAGCTGCTGAAGTCGGGATCGAGACGCCATCGTCGCGGAGTCTTCCCTCCTTCAACGTTTTCTCCGTCGAGCATCCGGTTCGGTAACTCCCGTTCGTAAGGAAAGGTTTCCGGCCGTTTGCGTCGCCGCTGTCTTCCCGGAAATGCACCACAAAGAAGTGCACGATTTTCCTTATCCCGGGAATTCCTTGCACCGGGGCGTGGAGTTGACTAGGAATCACTCTCTCAAGAGGTCCTCCAGCTCCGGTGGGATCAAAGCGATTTCCACGAAATTCATCGGCAGTCTCGAGAGCCTCTTTTTCTGGTGAGTTTCCTTTATTTTCACTTCGACACTAGCGCCTCATTCTGGCTGATCTCATTCCTCTGGAACGTCGCATCCTTTCTCTGCATTGAGCTTCGTCCCGAGCGATGAATGCGATCAACAGATGGCGTCGAAAAATATCATCATGCAAGGGTTGTCTGGCTTCCGCGCGGAGC